TCAAAGTCTTTCATCTTACCACATTTTCATATTAAATACATTCTTCTGTAGTGAAGAATGAGGAAATACACCAAGTTTGGAACATCAGGTTTTATTACCCTTTCTACCAAAGACAAATGATTAAATATTTAAATAATGCTAGTTTATTATAGATTTCAGGAAAGTTGGTAATAAGAAATACCCATTATTTTATACACAAAATAAAGGTAATTATTTAAAGTTGTATAAAAAGACAGGCAAAGTTTTTGTTGCTGTTGTTTTCAAGATAGGGTTTCTCTATGCAGCCCTGGCTATCCTGGAACTCACTTTCTAGACCAGACTGCCCTCGAACTCACAGCGATCCACCTGCTTCTGTTTCATGAGTGTTGGGATTAAAGGCATACACCACTATGCCTGGAATATAAAGTTTTAACAGCCTTTCATATAATAAGTTCAATAAATATTTTAATTGAACAAATCAATTATAGTAAAATGGACTTGTACTTTTATTTAATTTAATGTGGAGGAGATAACTGTACTGGCCTGTCTGAGCTTTCACGAGAAAACTTTGTCCACGGGATACCACAGAGATGGGGATTCTTGGACCCCCATGGGTTCTCAGATGATCTTTCAAAGTAGTTCTAAGTTTAAAATATTACAACACACACACACACACACACACACACACACACACACCGGGGAGGGGGGAGACAGAGACAGAGACACACAAAGAGATTTAGTTATATGAAGTTCTTTAAACACCAATGTTCATACTAAACAGAGATTTCAAAAGCCTTCCTAGAATGCGGAGATACTCTTCCACCGACTGTTTAACTGTTACCACGGCAAGTAGCTCACCCCAATCCCTACAGTTCTAACATTCAGCTCTCCACATACACAAAGTGCTGAATATAAGCATAAAGATGGACTGTGTGACTTAAAGAGAGGGCAATACAAGTCTAATGTTACTGACTTTCACCCCTTTTCCTATCACTGACTTGGTTTTAATTTCAGTCCCTCATCAGGTGATGGGGTGACTGACTATGAAACGAAATCTTGCCAGGAGATGGCGCTCTTCTACAGGATCCACCATCACTTGTCCTGCGGGTTCCATGGCAGAAAATTCCCTTGAGAATATACTCTTAGACTTCTACGCACAAAGCAGCTACCGAAAAAAAAAAAAAAAAAATGTCTTTTTGTTGTTGTTGTTGTTAATACATTCTAATACATTCTGAGGGCTTTTCATGGCTACTTAGGGGATTGAAGATGGCTGAAGGTAAATTGCATTGCAATCTGCAATTAGGTTTGCATCTGCAACCCCCAACCTCTCCACATCACTGCAATTCTAGTTGATCAATCTGCCTTTGCAGACACAGAATCTTTGCAGGAATTCCCAATCACAGATAGAACTCTTCCCCTTCTCGCAAAGGTTACATAGTAGCTTAGGATCCTAATATTCGAGGTAACATAGACTAAGGTGACCTCCTGTCTCATGAACAGGGGACTGGGACCCAGGGCATTTCAAATAGTAGCCTGAACAAGTGATAGCCTGTCATCACTCTAGGTGCAGTGGGATCTGGAAGGATGGAGCCTATAAATGAGGCAGAATAAAGTCTCATGCAACAGCCAACTTTATTCAGAGTATCAGACAATTTATACTTGGAGGGTTAAGGATAAAATCACATAAGTAAAGTTCTTATGAGTTCAAGCTGTATACAGTCGCAAGGATAAGCTACATCTGACAAGACCATGATTTTCAATAGAGGTACATAAAGAATAGTTGTAACATTTAATTGAGTAACAGCAGTAAAAGATAACTAGTAATCTTAAGTAAATGGCCCACTATCAGCTACACCTGGGAGAAGCAGGAAAACACGTTCCAAGAACTATGCCAAGTCTTGAAAAGATCACCCGACTATTGCTTTCTTGGAATATTCACACAGGCACTTAGAATTCTGCTCATAAGACTCTATTCCTGAACTGTGTTCCAACAATAGTCAATAAGTGGGCAAAAGGAGAGATATTTAGAACGTAGTTAGGGGTTATGATGACTTAGTAAAGTGGTACTTGTAGGTTTGGCTCCAATATCCATGACTCCATGACTTCACTGGCCTTGGGTATTTAGCTGGATTAATGTCAGGAACAACACCTGTAAAGTCTCACCAACAGGACTGACTGCCCATGAGATGAACAAGGACAACAAGGGTAGACATGCCAGAAAGACATGAGTTCTCAACTCTACATAAGAATTACAGGTTGTTAGTCCCTACCAAAGACTAGGCTGCAGAGGCAGTGGTGTGGGCAGCAGCTTATGTCATCACCTGCCCCCTCCAGGTGCAACTAGTGCCCTCCTTAAAAGGTCCATCAGTCACAGTTAGCTCTCCTGCTCTTATTCTCTCTCTCTCTCTCTCTCTCTCTCTCTTTCTCTCTCTCTCTCTCTCTTATGCCCTCACTCTGAGACAGCCTTTCTCTCTTTCCCCTCTCCCAATAAACCTTTTTTGCATTAGATCTGCTACAAGTGGCATGATCTCTTAATGGCTCATCCTGGCCAGCCCTCCAGAGACACTCTTTTTAGTTGCTTTATCATTAATACAGGCAACTAAGAAACACTGAGAGAAAGAGAAATATTCTTACCCAGGGAAGAGCACAACAATTGGTTATCCAATGCCAAATGGTAAGCCATGAAAAAATGTATAACATTATATAGACCGAGCAGTTTACATTTAATAATATATATATGCATATGCAACAAACATACATGAATATATATGCATTTAGTAATTAGTGCAAAAAAGAGGTCATGAATGTGTAAGAGAACAAGCAGGTATATATATATGAGGATTTTGAAGGAGGAAATTATGTAATTGTACTATAATATCAAGAAAGAAGAAAAGGCATAAGGAAAAGAGGAATAATAATAATAATAATAACAACAATAAAATTGACTTGGCCTGTATGTGATGCCCCAGGTGAAATGGATCAGGGAGTGGGTCTGATGCTTTAAGGTCTCCCTGATCTTGTGTCCATTCTGTTTCAGTATTGCAGAAAGGACAGAGAAAGGATAGGGGATATAGGAAGTTCAAAAGAAGTGAAAGGCTTGTCTGTTTACAGGCTGAGAGAAACTTCTCAGGAGTCCCTAAAGAATGTTGCCCCAATGTCATCGTAGGCATTGTGCTCTCCCACTCCTTTTCCAAGAAAAGAAGCTGGTGTTTGCTTAGCTGTTTTGCCCCCCTCCCCTTTATTTTATAGGCAATGTGCCTTCCAAGCCCTCTTGGGCTTGGCTCTTGATCTGAGGAGCCTTTCCTTCCAGCACCTGGGTCAGATTTCACAGTGTGATTACACCCTAGTGTGAGCCAGGCCTTAGGTCTGTCTCTGTCACAAGTTTTTGGTAGGAATATCAAACTACATTAATATCATTAAATAGTTAACTTTCCCTTCCTTCCTTCCTCCCTTCCTCCCTCCCTTCCTCCCTTCCTTCGTTCCTTTATTTCTCTCTTCTTTGTTTTTTCAAGACAGAGGTTCTCTGTGTAACAGTCCTAGCTTTTCTGAAACTAGCTCTGTAGACCAGACTTACAGAGATCTGCCTTCCTCTGCCTCCCAGATGCTGGGATTAAAGGCATGTGCCACCACTGCCTGGCCATAGTTAACTCTCTTTTAAAAACTTTTGCACATCCGTAACCTCCTTGTTAATAGTTCCTTTCATTTTGATTCAGACTACTGATGTGACGTTAGAGAAGGAAGATTAAAACAATCCAGAAAGATTATGTGTACTAGGATAAAACAAGAAAACTCAACCTCCATTGGTGTAAATTGATTAGTCTCCCTGAAACAAGAGCTCAGGGAGTAGTTCTAGAAAGTCATGAATTTCAGCCCACAGGACTGGCTGCTGGTTGGACAGTAAGAACCTTCAGTAAGTTTTTACAATAAGTAATTGCAGCAAGAACTGTCTGGAAAGATTCCTTTGCTTTCCAGGACACAGGCATTGGAGTTGGGGTTGAAGGTAAAGGGAAATTTTTCTTGCTAGCCTTTCAACAAAAGGAGAAAAACCAAAAATATCAGCCTAGGGTTCAGCTGTCACCATCTCCCTTCCCCTCATTCCAAGATATCAGAGGGGCCCTGGAAGTTTACAAGGGCCCTCTCCAAATCCTTTGTTGTTTGTTTTGGCAAGAACTGATCTTAAATGCATTCAGAATAGGCTTGAAATTGACCCCATCATGGTGAGGTCACCTACAGTTAGAGGAACAGAGTAATCTCTGCTGATTTAAAGAATAAAAAGGCAGGGGGAAAAAAGTTCTCAGCACGCAGCCAGATTTTACTGAAAGCTGAAATATGCTTGTATAGCAAAGAACACAGACACATACTCCCCCAGGTGGAGAGAGGACCTCATATGATGTCCACAAAAAAAGTCAAAAGTTTATGTTTGATGATGCAATGGGTTCCTTGATCCCTCAGAATTGGATGACTGGGGCTGCCAGAGGGGATTGAATAATAAAGACAAAGAAAGGGAAGCTGATTGGTTCTTACCACAAGAGCTACCCAAAGAAAGGCCTACCAAATGAGATAAATCTCACCAAGTCTTTGTCTTGGAAAAAGAGAAGGGTCAGGAAGAAGGCCATATTAAATGTTTAAGTGAGTAGTACATGAAGCAGCACAGAGCCCTCTTTCCATGTCTGTTTGGCTATCAGGGATCTGTCTGACTCCCAGGTTCTTACTATAGCTACCAAGAGGTACTTATTAGGGTTCACATTTCCAGATATCTCACTAGAATTCACATTAAGTATAAAGAAGATTCTAGATCTGCACTTTTTATTAAAACTCACATATTGATTTATTTATTCATCTTTGGAAATGCTTCCTGAATTTGTAAATGATAATTACTGGAAAGAAGTTGTGTCTGCAATACTGATTAACTGATTAAAAACAGTGACATGCCCTCCCCGCGAGCGCTGCTCCGGCTGCACAGCGCTCTGTCAGGATAGCGCCGTCATCCATCCCCAGCCGCCACCGTGATCATCTACCTGGACCTCATCAGCCATGACGAGCTGTTCTCCAACATCTACAAGATCCGGGAGATGGCGGATGGGCTGTGCCTGGAGGTGAGGGGCAAGATGGTCAGTAGAACAGAAGGTAACATCGATGACTCGCTCATTGGTGGGAATGCTTCCGCTGAAGGCCCAGAGGGCAAAGGTACCGAAAGCACAGTAGTCACTGGTGTTGATACTGTTATGAACCACCATTTGCAAGAAACCAGCTTAACAAAAGAGGCCTACAAAAAATACATTAAAGATTACATGAAATCACTTAAAGGCAAACTTGAAGAACAGAAACCTGAAAGAGTAAAGCCTTTTATGACTGAGGCTGCAGAGAAAATTAAGCACATCCTTGCTAATTTCAATAACTACCAGGTTTTTATTGGTGAGAACATGAATCCAGATGGCATGGTTGCTCTCCTGGACTACCGTGAAGATGGTGTGACTCCATTCATGATTTTCTTTAAGGATGGCCTAGAGATGGAAAAATGTTAACAAACTGGATCTATCACCTGTCACCATAGCTGGCTGCTACTTACCATCCACACAACTCCAGGACTTAGGACAATTGGGACTGATTTCATCTTGAGCTTTTATTTTGACCATAATTTACTTGGAGTGGAGACATTGTTGTTTTCTTTTTTATTTTTATTTTTAAAGAAAGAACATGTCATGGAGGTTGTTTGAAAATGAAGTGCATTTAAAATCACTTAAAAAAAAAGCAAAAACAAAAAACAGTGACATTCACAGGTTGGGATGGCACTGTCCAGAGGCTAATTACCTTTTATCAGGGTAGTTTTAACCTCTTGGATACTGATTCCTTGCCCACTTATGAGCCAGAATTAACATCTTGTGACTAATGGATTAAACTTTAAAATCTGTTAACTTAACCAACTACTACCTTCTACCAAACCCAAAACGAAGAATGTTATCTGATAGATTCTGAAGCTGTCTTAGTTACTCTTGTGTTCCTATGACAAAACACCATGACCAAGGCAACTTGTAAAAGGAAGCATTTATTTTGGGGCCTTGCTTGCAATTTCAGTGAAAGAGTTCATGACCATTGTGGCGGGAAGCAGGATACCACACAGGGATAGTAATGAGCAATATCTGAGAGCTGAATCTGATACACAAGCATGAGGCAGAGAGAAAATCAGGGAAGGAAAGGGAGAGAGAGCTCAGGTGAATTGTATGAGCTTTTTAAACCTCAAAGGCCACCCCAAGTGACATACCTCTTCCTCAAATGTTCCAACTGTGGACCAACCATTCAAACATATGCGCCTATGAGGCCATTCTCATTCAGACCACCCCAGAAGCATCTCTCATCTTGATGTATCCACCTCTTTGATGTACCCATTAGTATATATTAAACTTGCCTCAATTTGTGACTTTCTTTGTTCTCTAAGACTATACACTTTATGAAACTACTTCGATGTTGGAACATAGAATTTGGGGTAACCTAAATCTGTGTTCACAGCTACCCAAAATGGCTCCAAAGATATCTCTTATTGCCTTCAAGGTGAGAGCTGTATTTTTTGCATCCACAAATTATAATTCTTAAAAGTATTCATTTACTTTAACTATCTGTCTCCAAGATAAAGAATTGTTAACAAAGATGAAATTTATTTAACATTTGATTGAATGAAACATTTATTTATGATTACAATCACACTGACATTATCAAACACAAAATTAAGATAACGATTTTAACATTATCACCAAATAACTGAAATGAAATCCTTCAATCACAGGTTGGAGAAATTCAATATCCTATATTCTACTTGATGAGCCACGGAAGACATCATTTGTTATCTGGGAATTTGAAGTACCAACTGAGAAATTTTACTTGATTGCAAGATCCTCTATGAAAAAGGATGGTGTCTCTGTAACCCATACAAAATTCAGCAAGAACCATGATGCTGATAATCAAAATTTTCTTTAGAGGTTCTGAAAATAAAGAAATCAGAAGGAAAACACAGATTAGCACTTGTAAATTGTGTTGCATTGAATGCTTTATAATGAGGGTAACCCAGCATGCATTGATGCAGAGAGTCTGTGTCCACCTATGAGTAGCTTGAGCAGCTGCATCCCACCAATTCTCCACCCTTGCATGTGTCCTATCGCCCATGTTGGGATTCTTGATTTTCCCTAAAAGCCCAGTCCTGACTCTGCCCTGGGACCATCTCAGATCCAAAAAGACAAGAGGACTACAAAATGTCTTAGTTGTCCTCTAGAAGCAGAATGGAAGGAAACACTTGAGAGAAAGAAAATGTGGAGTAAGTTGGAATACAGCTGGATGTGTGAATTTATTAGCATTCATTAAGCAATTTTTTACACATTCCTCATACAATAAAAGAATGTGATTCAGAATGATAAGGCAGGGAGGAGGGAAAGCAGAAGTGCTTTCCAACTGCCCCAGCCCTTAGGAATGTTAGGAAGATGTCAACAAGTTCAGCAGACAAGGTAGATCACCAGAGACTTCCCTCCTTAGTATTAGATTCAATTGGGGTGGATTTCAGAGCTCTATACTTGATTGAGTATTCTGCTCATATATCAGGGTCATTATTATTTAGCATCTGCATTTGGAATTATGCTATCTTGCTTGCCAGTATGCTGTTAGCAGTTCATTAATAACTCATTTAAACTATATAGTTGAAAAGTATTCATCAAAGTTCTACTGAAGGGTCAAATAAAAAAGCAAGTTTTGCAAATGAGAAATTAAAGGAAAGATACTAATGAGTTCATATGACCCTAGTAGTAACAGAGCTTACTGTATGTGCATGTGATATTTAGGTTATCAGAAACAGGGTGTTCTATTGTGTCCTTATAGATTTTTCATTACTTAGGAAAAACCAACATTTAATCATGTCTTCTTACATCATGGCACTGCAGAAAACACATTCATTGCTATAAGTATGTCCATTAGTTCCACAAACTGGATTCTTTTCCCTGGTACACCTGTTTGGGAATTCTTTATAGAAGTCACAGTTAGGCTGTCAGAGATAACAAAATAATACAAGGTTTATCATATAGTGATCTTTGTGGGGAAAGAAAGCCACACAACAAAATAGTTAAATATTAAGGCTTAAATAAAAACATTGAGGTACCCAAATTCAAATGTTATACATATATAAGTACATTTATTTGTGTATGTCTGCATGTGTGTGCATAGCTCTGTGTGTGTGTGTGTGTGTGTGTGTGTGTGTGTGTGTGTATCCACATGTATATCCACATGCACACCACAACATTCATGTAGAGGTCAGAGAACAATTTGCCTGAGTCAGTCTCTCTTTATAACATATAGAACCTGGAGATTGAACTCAGGTCATCCAGCTTGGTGTCAGGTGCCTTTATTCACTAAGTGATCTTGCTAGCCCAAATACATGATACTATTGATATATATATATATATATATATTTTTATAAACCTTATTTTTAAAAGTTGTGCATTGGATATCTGAAATTTATAACAGAGTTCTCCTGTCTCTACATCTATTCAAACTCATGTTAAATCTCTCATTATTTTAGCCATGAGAGATCATAAATATTAATTGTCTACTTTTAGTCTCTTATCCTTCTGAACCATTCATGAAAGACACACATACTCATATGTGTGAGCCTTTGTATATGTGTAATATCTTACACAGATATCAATAATGAGAGTATTGGTGATTTACAGAAATAGGCATACCATGTATTTTCTATTGAATTTGCCTTTCAACTGCTTTGTAATTTTTATCTATTCAGTTGTTTAGGACTACAGTTCTTCTTCACATTTATATAATGTTATGGTGTGTTAATATTTGAAAAATTATAATTAATCCACCTTTAGATAGATTATTCAATTACTTCCAATCTTCTTTCTTTGTTAGAATAAACAAGTCTACTTCAAATATCTTTTAAACTATATCAGATACTTGTATACAATAAGGATTTGATCCATTAATGGAATTTTTGAGTAATGGGATGTTTTACCTTGTCTATAATGCTAAACAGTTGTATAGTATTGGCAAGACTATCATTCTTTATGTGCATATGTATGTATATGTGTTTGTGTGTGTGTGCTTGGGTGTATATATGTACACCACACATGTGCAAGAGCCCATGGAGGTAAGAAGAGGAAGTTGATCCTATGGAACTAGAGTTACAGATAGTTTTGAGCTGCCACATGGATGCTGGGCACCAAATGTGGTTGTTTTTGTAGAGCAGTAAGTGCTTTTAACCTCTGAGTCATCATTGCAGCCTCTGGCAAGACTCATTCCTGACCTTCATGTAATAATAATGACATAAGTATTTTGTTTGGTTTTAATTTTTCCAGATCTAGTCTATTATAGATTTTGTTTGTTGGTATTTGACCATAAAATTACATATAAAATGACTAAAAGTTTACTTCTTTATTTATGTATTTCTTCACTTAAAATTTTTGTTCACAGTTTCTTCTCCCCCAACTCCTTCCAGATCCCCCTTCCCTTCCTCCCCACATCCACTCCTCCTCCATTTCCTTTCAGAAAAGAGCAGGCCTTCCAGGGATATAAACTGAACATGTCATTAACAAGTTACTGTAAGACTATGCACAAATCATCATATCAAAGTTGAATAACAGAACTCAGTAGGAGGAAAGGGTCCCAAGAGCAGGCGAAAAAGTCAGAAACACCCCCATTTCCATTATTAGGAGTCCCATAAAAATGCCAAGCTAATAACCACATATATGTAGAGGACCTAGAGCAGACCCATGAAGTGGCAGGATCCATGATTGCCACTTCAGCCTCTGTGAGCCCCCATGAGCTCTATTTAGTTGATTCTATGGACCAGGTTCTCATGGTGTTCTCAACCCCACTGGCTCCTACAAAACTACCAAATTAAATACTTTTAACTTACCTTACGACGGACTTTTGTTGAAAATGTAGTTTCTGAAACCAGCAGAAAAAAGAAAAGCCAAGAATAATAATAATAAGGGAAAATATGGTCTATGGTATAAAGTTCCCTTAGTACTTAGCAGAAGTAAACTGCAAATTACTTATTCATGACCTTTGAAGTAAGGTGAGAATTTGTGGTAGTCACAAAATAATGTGTTCATAGAATGATTTCCAATCTGGAAATGCTTGTTATTATTTATCCATTTCTAAAATGTTCCTTTTAAAGATACCATAGTTTTCCTTTATATGTGAAATAGCCTAGTCAGAGAAATAAATGCCTTGTAAGAAAGTCAATTTGCCTTGTATAAAGGACATGCAATAAATTTGATTAACAATTATTAAAATTTACTATCTAGGATCTAATCTTTCACAATTCCTTTATCGATCCTGAAATTCATGATTTGTCAGGGGGAAGAATCATTGAGTTTTCTCTCTAAACACAGACCTTGGCTTACAAGACTCATCTGACAAACAAAAAAAGATGATGTGTAGGAACACCAGATCTGGAAGGCACCATAAAGCTCATACATTGTGTTTAACAATGCTGGGATGTATCCTACAAAATGGGATGTGGGTAAATACCTCTAACCAAAGGTCAATAACAACAGCACAAAAACCTAAAGTACACATTTGAAGATTTACTTTTAAAAGAGATGGACTCTAACTGTCTTATCCAAGTTGGCCTTGACCTCCAGGACACAAGCAATTTCCTTCATTGTGTCTTCAAGTAACTGGCTTATGGGTATAATGCTTCTGCTAGTTAATTTAATCCAGGTTCTATGCTCCATTTCTCTAAGACAGGACATGGGTTAAAAACAATTTGTTGGTATAAATTCTAAAGCAATTTGTAACATAATGCTTTTCACCAGTTTGACATTTCTAATCCCAGTTTTAAAATTGATCTGTTCCCGAATTACAATGGATGTTTCCAGTATTATATGCCTGGGAGGGGAATAGTCAAAAATTGACTTACCATAATGAAGAGGAAACACCAAGGCCAGGATGAAAATGATTTTGATCCATAATAAAGAGGAAGACATTTTATCAAGTCTGAGGAACAATTATTTAAGAGCATCTATAACACATTTCCAAAGAAAAGTTTCTTACAGACCAAGGAACTACATACACCCCTTCCCAGATTCCTAATTATGGCTAACAGTAACTAGCCTTCCTCAAGTCTTTACTAATCCTCAAGATTAAGAGGACACAAATGCCAGAAGTGCAGAGTCCTTCTAGAGACTTGAAAGGCCTTCATTGTACTTATTCTCCCAGCTGCTGGCTCAGCGAAACAGGAGACTCTATGCATTTCAAGTAATATATACATTGGAATCTCAGATTTTCAGAAATAATAATTTTAGAAAGAAAGACCTTGAGAAGTTGTTGTGGGAACTCCAGGCTCCTGGACAGTCTCTAGCTGTCTCTATCTCTTATCAGGAGCAACAAAGATAATGAAGAGACACCAACAGCTCTGAGCACTAATCTTTTGCTTGCCTTCTCATCCGCTTCCCTCCAGCTGCAATTCATATCACTTTCTCATTGAGAACTTGTTTGGGAGCAAGATCATAAGCCCAGCACAGATCAACCATAGCAGTAGACCGTGTTCCCCCTGGAGGCTGCAAACTAGCTTACAAGATGAACCTCACTTGTTTTTAATAGTTCTTGCAGCAGAAAGTTAGGTACAATTTGACCTGATTTATCCAGAGGTGTGGGAATGAGAAAAAGAAGGAAATTAATACTGGAAGGGGGTGAAGTGGGGGAAGAATTCAAAACTATTGGGTAAGAAAGAACAAGAGAATAAAGGGGAAAAGAAAAACAAATTTAAAGAATTGTAACTGAACAATTCTACCTCATTCAAGGTTTTATCAGAAAAATTAGATTGAATACTAATATAAAATTAATATGCCTACACCTGGCAGACTCAACAGGAAATCTTATTTTGTTATTAGATGTTTTGTTTTGAGGTGCATAGCAGTGTCCCAGTGGGACATTTGTAAACTTGTAGCTTAAATATACAGCCTGGAACAAACATCTGCTAGAGACTTTTTACTGGTGTCCATTTCCATGGTCAAAACAGTAAATCGGTTGTTTGTATAAGAAGCCTGGGTAGTGGTGTGTCTGGAAAAATCCCAGAAGAGTCTCAAAGCAGCCAACACTAGAGGAAGAAGATAGGATGCAATAGCAGAAAAAGAAGAGAAGGATAATAGAGATTTGTGGCCACAGGGGACAGTTAAGTTATAAAAGTTAATGATCTGATGAATCCTAGAATTAAGTGAGAGGCACTGTGGAACATGAAGTTGGGATTCCCTGAAGTTCGTTATCAAACTTTCTCAGAGCCTGGCATTTGAAAAAGCATTGGGAGTTGAAATCCTTGAGTTATACCTTTGTCTCTGACCAAATGACCTCTACACCGTATCCAAGCTTCACAGTTCCCAATTATTTCACTATGTAGCACAGGCTGGACTGAGTCCACATCCCTTGTCTTATGACTCCCGGGGTTACTGACTTACACTATGATGCCCAGTACAACCTTTTAATGGGTTCATTGGTAGAAGACACTAAGAAACGAAACCAACATGATACCCATGAGTGCACACATATGTATTGTTTAGTTAATTTACATTTTCATCATGCATATCTACTGTACTTGGTCCTGTGTTGCACAAGATATCTCTATGAAAGTATATTTTATCTCATACATCTTGCCATCCCTTCCTATTTCCCCTCTCATAAGTTCCCAAAGACAATTTCTCTTATACTTTCTACATTTTTCTTAATTTACCCTTAAATAAAAATATAAATAACACAGATGTAAAATGGTACAAAGTAATTTTATGTGATGTGATGTTTGTGTAATACACACACATATACATACACAAACACACATATTGAGTAATTTTAAAATCAATTAAGCATATATTGCCTTATTTATAATGATTTTACTTGAAAAACCTTCAGAGTGCCTCTACACACAGTACCCAAATGTTGAAATACACAGTACCCAAATGTTGTTTTCATAGTTTCTCTACTGTACAATAGCATAGCAGCCCTTCTCATTCCTCACCAGTACTGGGCATACTTGATTGGATCTCGATTCCACCTTCTATATTTTCAATTTGATTTATGGTAACTGCATACATTTGTGGATAGATATATTCCCCCAAGGCTTAGAGGCTAAGCCAGTGATTTAAACAGAAACCCTCACAGGGACAAGGAACAGATAGAATTTTAAGGCACTTATATACTCTTCTACTACCTATAGAAGAGTGATAAGTAGGAGTTGCTAACCTAGAGTTACTAACTATACATCTCTCCAACCAACTTTGTCACCAGTCTATGAAATGTGCTTCTCTTTATTCTCAACTCTGAAACCCAAATAAGAAACCAACCAGAACATGGGGCTGCCATCTTGTCTCTAGGACAAACAGGCCCTGATACTTATCTTACTCAAGGAAAAGCTAACTTAAAATGAGGAACTGATTTTTATTAATATTAAAAAATGTATACTGTTGATGAGTGAAAAATTATCAGATCACAGCCAAAATAAATGATCAAATAAAGGATCTATTTCTGTGCCTTTTAGTTGGCAGCCTGAATTTCTTCAAATTGGTATTGTCCCCTTTTCCTCAATCTAAACCTCCATCTCTCTCTAATTAAAGCTTTTGCTGGTGGGTTCATGCTATTTGTCTCTTCCTTTTCTATCTTGATTGAGATGAAGTGATGTCTCTTACCATTATGATTCTCATGAGAAGCTAACCTAAGAGGCAGTTGACTTTCAACTGCTCAAAACCCTCCCCTGGATGTTCTGAAACTTTAGAATGAAGAGAATCTAAGCTATCTCATTTATTTAAAAATCTCTCAAGTAATATGATATTTGGGAATATCTCTTAGATCACGGGTACTGAAATATGTCTTAAGCTATTATGCACTCAAATGAAAGAAAACACAAATATATTTAATAACACTTTATTTTAAAGTGTTTAGCATTATTGAGCAAAATATGTAGATAGTTAGAGCTTTAAATTGAATTGGGTTTTACATGATCGAACAAACATTAGGGTAAGGGTTTTGTTGTTTGTGATCAACTTTCTCTGTATCCCAAGCTCATACTCACATCAATGAGTCTTGCCTCAGCTTCCCAAGTGTTAGGGTTGTAAGTGTAAGTATCACACTGAGATTTCAAAATGTCATTTTGTTAATGAACATAGAAAACAGAAATCCTGAAATTGTAGGTTCCTATTGTTGAGAACAACCTTGAATGCACTGTATCTAACCCTCTGCCATACAGTATGATTCATCTGGTCTTCTATGAATGTCTTCTATGAATGGAAGACTTTCACCAAGAAATTCTAATTTTAGAATTCACTGCAGAAAGGTATCATAATTATAGCCATTGGGATGTTTAACTCCAGAAAATGTCAGCATTTACCATAATGAGCAAATGAAAAAGCAGTATCACTTCTCCTGGAAAAGCAAAAGGAAAAAAAGGGAAAGAAATCATTAAAAATTACAACTTTTGGATAATTTACATGCTTATATACTTATAAGTGAGGATGTGAACTTGGGACATATTGGCGATATTATGATTTGTTGTAGAAGCAGCTGTGTCTATTTGCGTCTTAGCTCCTTTGTGTGCCCTTTCACTACTGTTGGAGATCCTTGACAACTCTCAGTCAAAAGTCACACCAGATCTGTGAAAGAAGAGCCACAGGGAATTCTAGGTCTGCCAAGAGGCATGTATAACTTGGGAAGCAAATGGCAAAATATTATAATAAGAGGAGAAACATGCACAAGGAAATAAGGAGTAAAAAATTAATACAACAAACACTTTCAGAATGAAGGACAAAGGGACAAGAATTCAGCTGAAGGTGTTCTGTGCTCTCAGGAAGGTCAAGAGACAAAGTTGATGTCATACATGTTCCCTTTTAGCACTAATTGGCTCATTGTTGACTAAATTTTAAAGCTCAGAATTCAATCTGATTCTTGATTGAATATGTTGCCAGTAGCTAGAATTTTTCAAGGCAGATCCTTATGGCATCACACAGATACATGGGTTAATATTGTAGTTTCCAAATTACATCACTGTAGTTATTACTCATCTACTAGTACTTCACAATTCACCAAATTAAGTTAAATTAATCAATCCACACATTTGCAGAACACTTAGCATGGATATGTGAACAGTTCCCAAGTAATACTCTTAAGAGGAGTTAGAAGAATACTTGTTTGGCTTTTATAAAATATAATTATCTTTAATACAATAATGTGCCTAGAATACAAACAATATGAATCTTTATATTATTGGGTAATGCCTTATCATAACTGGAGAAACAAATATTTACTGTTGCATTCTTACTTCAGGGAAGTGCAGAAAATGCATTTATTGCAATAAGTTTTTCCATTAGTTGCACAGATTGGATAATACTCCTTGGTACATGTGTCAACATAATCTGCATATGGTCTACAGTCTATCTGTAAGAGAAAGGCAATAAAACTTATTTAATAGTGAACATTTGACTGAAATATGATATATCATACATTCAACAAGAGATAGCATAATATTTAGACTCAAAAACAAATACCTATACACCCACAATCCAGTAGCTAAGGAAGTAGTCTCAATACTTTTGTAGAAGTCATCCAAGTCTATTTTCTTGGCAATGTTATCAATTTTTAGAGAACACAGACTACTCAATTTCTAAAAACAAACTAGAACAGAAAACTTAAAAATTGATGTTAGCTAAATGAACATAAATTTATTGAGATATATAAAGTCAAACCTTAATTTTGTTTTTAATTATATTTACTTATGGTCATATACTGTAGGTATTGAGATGAACCATGTGTATTCTATTATCTGAACTGTAGAGCAGCTAAGTGGATGGTTTTGTAAAGGGCCAGGTAGGAAAAACAGCCTTTGGGAGCCAGTGGCCTTTGGTGCGGCTTTCCACTCTGCCATGATGCAGGAATGCATCCAGATAATATGCAAACAAAGGGGTGTGGCTCTGTCCTTTGTTTTGGGACTCTGAAATTTGTATTTCCTATAAGGTTCACACACAAAGAAAAACCCTTTGTACTTTTTCTTTCTACAAATGCTAAAATTACTTTTAGCACAGGGACCAAACAAATTTGGCTATTGGCCAGCTATGGAACCTAGTAAAGATGTCTCAGATTTGTGACTACAGATACTTATTTATAAAGGACAGTGAAAATCTGCAGCATACTATTCCTTCTCATCATAATGAAGTGTGAAAGAGAAGGCAGGAGGTACAGTGTGGTTCTACAGCATCAATATCTAATTAAATCATATTTTAGGTATATGTGTACACTATTATCACAAGTCCTTCAGTGGTGCTAATATTATTCTTTCTCAAGACCCTAAGAACAATAATATCAACTGAATTTTTCTCTACAACCTGACAAGTTTTAAAATGGCCTGCTAAATGGCTTTACTAAAGCTAAAGTGAGGTGTTATTAAATCCTTGAGAAATGAAGTTCACTGATGTTCTTTACATCATAAAGACTGCCATTATAGAACAGCCATTTAATAGTTTTCCTGAAGATGGTATTCTGTGAACCAGTCCTCTGTTCTGTATTTATTAAAACACTTGCTTTTCAGTGTTTGCTTTCTGTTTTTACTTCTTCATTGAAGTGTTGTGACCAGTGTGGGGAAGGGGGCAATTTCTCTATGTGCTTTGATAACGTAGTGGCCACTCCTTTCTCCAGTGGCCTTCCCTTCTCAGGTCAGACCTTCACCACCCACCACAGTAACAAAAGCATGAAGCTGAATGTGCTGTTTACTATTCCATCTCTCTTCAAATTCTTACTGATTAATATATGTATGCTCACTACGTTTACGTATTTTGTATAGCTTTAGAAATCTTGACCATTTGTATGGAGGAATGCTATATGTGTTTTTATATTATTTGTTTTTACATAACCTTGTGACCTTTATATATGCTGACATTTAAAGGAATAGTTTATTTTCTACCATAGTATGATATGGTATAATATATATGTATACATTTTCTCGCATGACATGATATAGTATGTATATATACTATACTGATAAATAGATACATGTATACACACATATATACATGCACACATATATGTAATATATATGTATAATACTATATATATATTAAGGGTTATTATTATTTATTCTCCTAAAAATTAATAATTATATGCTACTTTATTTTTCTTTGTTACATTGAATAATATTACTCTCAAGTATGCTTTTGTATTTCAGTATTGTAAAAAGCAGCTAACACTTTCCAGTGGCTGTCCTAGATACATTCCTATATACATTACCATTTCATCATACCTAGATCATGCCAATGTGGTTTTATGTTGCTTGCTTGATTAAGTGACTTGACTTTGGTAGAATAATACATGCATAAATACATATTTTTTAATTTTTTAAATCCTTGGATACTTTGGGAAGTCTTACCGAGATTCTAAAATTTGACAAACATTCAAAATTATGTTTCAAATTGCAAATGATTCACTAGTAACTTACTTGCATTCTGTGTATTGAATATTTTGTGAACGAAGTTTCTACAACAAAAAAAGCAGTTTTAAAAATAAGCAATTCATAGATACAATGGTAGTGGAAATGTGTTTCAGTGACTTACTCAGGTAGCTCCCACTAATGAGAAGAGATGTTTGAACGAGTAACAAAGATAAAAATTCTCAAACATATCTACATAATTAAAAAAAAAAACAGTTAGCCAAGCAAATGTAGCTCCATGAAAAATTATATATATATATGTATATATATATATTTTCAAAAACTTCTAATAAAATCTTCAATAATCATGAAAATGTCACCTTTAAAAGATAGAAGATGCTATACACAAAGTGACTTTAGAACTCTGTGTTCTATTATTTGTCAATACTTGACACCTAATTCATTATGAAATATTAATGATAGAGAGGATAGTATCACCTGAGGTGTCAAGAGCTCTTTCCTTATACATATCTTTGGTGTCAGGGTTGGGAACTAAAGGTAACAATTCATTCTTGAAGCATGCAGGCCTAGGAAAGAGAATGCCTTCCCTGAGCTTTGCATTTAACAACCAGACTATAAAATCTCCCAAAATATCAACTGTAAAAAATAAGTCAAAAGTTCCTGAATTCAGCGAAGTGCAAAGTACTGAACTCTACTGTACAGAACAAATTAACATTCTATTTCTTTCTTTACTGTAGGAAATGTGAAAGATATCGTTTGACGAGATATTTAGAAGAAATTTATAATGTGCATTTTCTTATTTTACCAGTTTAAGAACTGAAAAGGCAATACAACCACCATTCTACTCCCATCTTACTACAACAGGCATTCTACCCAAGACCGAAAACTTACCAGAATAAATAGAAAAGGCCAAGTTGATGAAAACAACTTTGGTCCATAGTGAAAATAACTCCATCTGACCAAATCTGCAGGAGAAATCATTCAGAATGTTTGTTACAAGGAGGATGACTGAATTAAAAGTAGACATGATCATTTGAGACTGGGTTTTGTTTGGACACTTCTAACAGTGACTGCAGAAAAGAGTACTTGAAATAATACTGAGCCTATCTCCCTCTGAAACAATACTGTAAGCAATGTGCACTGTGGTCTCCTTCTGACAGTACTCACAGCACTGCTGGGTACCAGGGCTGCCTTTCTCCGAAGTCATAGTGACAGCAGTGTTGGATACTTTGGCTGTCTCCACCTACAACACTGACAGCAATGCTTATACTGCAGCCATCTTCCTGTTGCCACACGTGACCTACCTTGTTCAGAAAGATGATGAGTTTTAGGGAAAACCTCTGGACACTGGCTCTCTTGTTCACTTTTCTTTAACTATAGCACTCAAGCTAACTCTTCCTTCTTGATCCTTGAGTGAGGAACTTGGTAAGGGTAAATGGCAGCCGGGGGCATGTAAGACACAGAAGTATGCTATTTGTTCCCTAGAGCCTGTAAAATCGGTCATGAGAGGCTCCTATCAAGTTCTTCTCTTATATTTTTGGTTGTGAGCCTAGCCTTTAATGGCTGAGGTATCCCTCCAGCCCCAAGTGCTTCTCAATACTAATAATAGATCAGTATCTATATAGATCATCCCTCAGCAGGAGGTTTGGGGACAATTTGATCTCCTGTACCTAGAAATATGGAGAGAAGTCAGTGAGCACAATTATTGATCCTAACATAGATAAAGGTTGTGAATACTTTTATACTTTTTTTTTTGGTTCTAGAGAATGAAGCAGGAAAAAGGAAAGCAGAATTTAAATTTAATAATGTTTCATTTCATACATACACACATGCACACACACAGATACACACATACTCACACACACACATATGGATTTTTCTAGAGAAATGTTAAAGCCTATGGATGCAACACTCCGCAAACACTACTGTGAATGGATTGCTAATACATGTTCTGGTGGTTGATGCACCTCTAAAGTGCAGGTGAGGTGTAGTCAGGTAAGGAAATTCTGGAAAGCAGTAATTCACAATTATTACTGCTATTTTATTATCTTCTAAATAATGAGTGAGCTAAAGAATAATCAGAATTTAAATAATAAAACAATGTGAGATAAATGAGTAAACATGACATCTTTCAAGATCTTCCAAGGCTATTTAGAACTAGACAGGCCCAGAGTGACTAAGAATAAAGTTCTGGGATCATCGAGCTGAACTTCTATATTAGGTACTAAAATGTGAAAAAAAAAAAAAAAAAACTGGATGTAAATAGTGTGGGAGGAAGGAAGCAATAATGATGCTTCTCAAAAATAAAATCATTCAAAAATAAATTAAGTTTAAAGATAAATGACAGAAAATTTATCAAACTATTCTGACATCAGTATTATTTGATGCTAAGCCAAAAACTTTTGATAAGAAGGAAAATTAACAATCAGTATCACTTATGAATGTGAATAAAAATCCTTTGCAAAAACACTAGCATTCAGAATCCAGCAACATACAAAACATTGTATACCAGGACTCATATGCATTTATCACAGTGTTGAAAAGTGGGCTTTGATGGGAGATATCATTCTGTAAATATGTTTCTCATACTGGTTAATGAATAAAGCACTGTTGGCCAATAGGAAATCAAGATAGGCGGGACTAGGAGACAAGGAGGATTTGAGGAAGCAGTAGGGAGGAGTAAGCATGTAGAAACTGGAGAGAGCAGACACCAGCTCCACTCTCCGATAAGATGAGACCATGTGGAAATACTTAGATTAACAGAAACAAGTAACTGGCCAGCAGCATTATATCAAATACAGGTTCTCTGTGTGTTAATTGGGGCTTGGCACCATGGTGGGTCCAGGCCGGCAGGAAAAACCTACTCGTAACAGGGCTTAACATCTGAGGACCGATATTTTATCAATATAATTAAATATATACATTATTGTTTCAATAGATGTGGGAAAACACCTAGCAAAAAGTTGACAATCTTGTATTATTTTTTTAAAAGCTCAATAATGTAGAATTGGAAGTCAAGACATCTATCTGATAAGGGTGCCTATAGATATTATACTCTTCAGTCATATTCCCTGGTAAGCTATGTCATGCTTTCTATCTATGGTTCAAAATAAAATAAGGAAGTCTTTTTTCTTGCCACTTCTATCACACATGGTTTAATATAGGGCCTTTTAGGCTTGTAAGATAGCTCAGCAGGTAGAGGATATTAACCATGATGACATAAATCCAATCACTGGAAACCACATAATGGACAAAGAAAACTGATTCACTCAAACACATACACTATTGCATACAAATCTCCACACACAAAACCAGCATATACATACAAACATAATAAATAAAAATTAAATTAAATTATAAATAAACTATGGCATCTTGACTTAAAAAGCCATTTCAATTGGAAAGAAATAAGTAAAAATTATCTTGATTTGCAAATTATAAAATCTTTTATTTGAAAACTCCTGTATTATTCACCAAGAGTATAACTCACAAATGAATTAATCAAAGTTGCAATATATTATGCAAATAAGTAATACAATTTTGTTCAATGACTACGTGATGCAGAGAGCAATCAAAAAACAAAGAAAGTAATTCCATCTTTTGTTTGTTTTTTTAAGAAAAGGTTTCTCTCTGTAACAGCCTGTTGTCCTGCAACTAGCTCTGTTGATCAGAATGGCCTTGAACTCACAGAGATCCACCTGTCTCTACCTCCTGAGTGCTGGGATTAAAGATGTGGGCCACCACGGCCAGGATATCAATAACATCTTTCTTGCTTCTCATTCTCTTCTTTTCATTCTTCTCCTGAATCTATATTCTTCCTCCTGTTTGTTCTCTCTGCCTGTGAGCCCCACCTATGCTTTCTCTGCCTAGCTGTTGGCCGTTCAGCTCTTGGTTAGACCATTCAGGTGCCTTAGGCAGACAAGATGAAACAGATGAAATGCATCTTTACATAATTAAACACACATCCACACATTGTTAAATGCAGCATAAACACATGTAACACACTTTTAGACAGTTGAAGTAATATTCTGGAGCATAGATAAATGTAACAAATCTTTACAGAGCTAAAATAATATTCTACAACATGTTCATGTCCTAAGACCATCATATTGGTGTTGACCAGTCTTGAAGGCACCAATAACCTCTCTGTTTACACTCTGGAACCATTGCCTTCTTGACAATCTATCCAAAGCGGCATGTCTCTCACCTTATTCCACAAAGCTGCTGCCGTTCATGTAGAGCTCAAGGTCTCTTGCTGCCTAATTCTGATTGACTTTTCTAGCATACATAATTGCAGCATCTACAAACAGTTCTTAAGCTGATATCATTCACTGGAAGGAGAGTGATGGATTTAAGATCGAAGACACCTGGAGCTTGACTTTGGTGTTGTGTTAACTCATTCTCTTTTCTGTTATTCCATAGCCTTCCCTTTGATCTAATAAAATTGTTACATTATGGAGACATATGCTGCTGTAGGCTGACCCAAATTAAGCATTTCAGTCTCTTGTGCAAGGTTACATGTAGCAGCAACTGCTCTCAGGCTGAGTGGCCACCCAATCATTTTATCTAACCAACTTAAAAATTATGCCACTGAGACTTGAGGTAAATACTGAGTTTTATGATTGTTTTTCATAGCATTAGGTTAAAAGGGTCATTCAAGTTTGTTAAATCCAAAGGTGTTTTTTAGCCTGGTCTAATCTTAATAGTGTCAAAAGTTTGCTGACACTTGGTCATTTAGCCCATATATTCCCAGTTTATCTTAGAGCCTAGTGCAGAGGCTTAGGTATAAGACAAAAATATTGCTTGCGTATATAATAGAACTCTGCCATTTCACCAAGCATCCATAATTTTCACTGAGAATAGGTACTGTTAGGTGAACAATAGCCCTTTTATTCATCTGGCAGAATTTCTTTTTGTACTTTTAAAATAGTAAATCTTATATATAGTTTGTTGATTGTAATTTTAAGCCCTTTACCCTCTTTTAGATGATTCATAACCTTAATGATTATTAATAATAAACAATTTATATGTGATATTAGCAATCAATTAGTCATCCATATATTGCAATATTAACTCTTCCGCTAACTCAAGGCAGTGCAAGTTTGTAGCCAGAGTTTTTATAGATAGAATGGGGTTCATTTTTAACCCCACATGGGAGAAATCTAATGAAACTGTTGTATGATACAATGTCAAGGGATTTTCATTCAGAAACAAATAAAAGTGGAGGTTGTTCTTCCAACAGCAAACAGAAGAGAAAGCCTTTTGGAGGGAGCACCAATAATTATTAATATGATTCCAGGACATTTGCTAGCAAAGTATTAGAGCTTAATACCATTAGTGGAGAGTCTGAATAATCTTATTTATGACTTGTAGATGTTTGCCAAATCAATATTAATCATGTTAAGGCCTTCTAGCTAGGCTAGAAGAATTCATATATTCTATGGATGATAGCAGGTACTAATCAAATAGCATTTAAAAATGATTCAGAGACCAACCAACTACCCTTTTGGACTTCCTAATTTACCAGATAATAATTCAGATTGAGAGCAGAGTCCCCTCTTGACCTTTTAATATAATTGTGATAAATGTACATTCTTTATTTGGCCCAGTGAACATGCTGACTTATTTTTACAGGCTTTAGTAGAAGCAACTATGAAATTTCTTTTTGTCTCTTGAAAGAAGGACATCTATAGGTTCAGAGCATGTTCCAAAATAGCCTTCTTTTCTAGTTGTATGGAGAGAAGTTACTATTACTGAGGCATCTAATTTGTAAAATAGGCCCAGTCAAAGAAGGAGAATCAGATATGCTGGCACCTAAAGAAAACTGTGTGTTAAAATCATATTCCCAAAGATATTTAAGCATCTGGAGAAAAAGAATCTGTCCTTTTCCCCCCAACACTCTCATAACTAAGGTCATATACCCTTTCTCCTAGTTTGGCTTTTAAATAAAATGGA